CACCGATTTTCTTCGAATGCATTCAAGTCTAAGTACAATACGGTCCGGGGTCCGGGTATGCGAGAAGATTTTGCCGATGAAGGTGCCGTCCTCGATGTAGTAAATTGCGCTCCAGCTCTATCTACATCAGTCACGTACCGGAAAAGGGTGAGCTGCGTCCCTCAAACCACCGTTTTGCCACTCACTGAGGACCACAATTCCCATAATCCATAGGTGGAGGGCCCAGGGACACCGTCCCCATCGTCCTCGAAACCCCATGCATAGTGAAGGTATGTAGAATGAGAATACATGAAGCACGGACCTGCGGATCGTCACACAACATGGAGGTGACTTCATCCGCCATCGCAACTGATTTTGGGATAGTCGAGTTATCCAAAGCACTCGTACCTGCCTTGATAAACTATGGTCCGACTACGCGACGCTTTGGCCGTATGCAGAGAGAATTTTGCGGGACCCGAGTTCGGTATTCTGCTTGCTATGGAATATTGTACGCGCTCCTAACAGGGAGGGATATCAGGAAGAAAATTGATCAGTAAAAGCGAAAGACGTTTGAATGAACGGAAACCTCGGCGAAACTGTAGCGCTAGGCGGGGTAGACGAGTGGCTGCAGAAAAATGGCGGCAAAGTGGGCATTCGGGGTGCGCAAGGTGTGAGACTTGGTATACAGGAACGCAGGAGGGTGGTAGACGAGCCGAGAGATGCAACGGTCCTATAGATATGAGGAATCCGTGCGTGGGTCGCGCGTGATTCTGGATGCTGTCGGCAAGGGAGGATTCAAGGCGCAAATAATTTTTCCTGGGAGTCTTTACCGATAGATTGGAAGTGGGAGTATCTTGAGTCGGAAAGGTCCTGCGGGGCGCTCAGCACATTCGGATTCTGATGGAAACAATTCGCCATGAGCGTGCTGTTATCGGTATTGCGATAGAACTTGGAACGCAGCGTCTGGTTTGTATTGACATGGAACACGCATGTTGCAGTCGGCGCGGCATGGGATCACAATTGCGCCGGCTGGAAGATATTGTGATGTAACACGATAGATAGGCGCGCGAGACGGACATAGGAGGCAATGCAGAGAGATTCTTTGAGATCTCGATCCAATGGAGGGCGTTTGGGAGGTAAGATGGGAGAATAATATCGAATATAGGACCCAGTGGATAGAATAGCGTCGCTTTCGTCGTAATTTGTTCACGCGAAGAAATAGTCGAGACAAAGTCGGTGACAGGACTGTCGGGGCGGCGCGTAGACTTGAAGGCGAAGAACAGTCGAGAAACTGAGCATACGATGTCTTCCAAAATCCTGCGACGCTAAGGGGTAGAATTTCCAGGCGACGCCGACGGGGAGAATTTACCAGAGAGTAGTTGTTTATTTTAAACGCGCCGGCCCTCGTAAGCGCGGGTGGAGGAGATGAGTGAAGATTGCACATGGATGAGGGGTACGCGAGGGAGGAAGCATTCTAAGCAAGACGGGGGCGTGGTGCCGATGGTACTTGCGGCGCATGCCGCGAGTGTTCGGGATATGCAGAAGAATATGTGCTGAGAATCCAGAAGAATACCCAGCGGAGAGGCGAGCGAGTGGGGCCGTCGGGGCTGATGAATTTGGAGGTCGAGGTTGATGAGCTTGAAGGCGTGACGCCTCTCCTGGCGTCGGGATAATGTTCGAGCGTAAGCCGTGTTCCAAGGGAATATCCTGCAATACCGAGGGCGTGGTCTGACGGCATCATCAGAGAAGACTTCTCTTATTTCAGACGCGCCAGTCCTCGTAAGCGCGGGCGGAAGAGATGAGTGTGTGATATCGGTGTGAAACCTGCGCGTGGATGGCAATTTTGGAGCGCTGGTGCTGGGGAGGCGGGTCCGTAGCGGACATGTAGTTGTAGTGATTGTTGGCGCATTCATTATGTACCAGGGGCGAGATTCGATGACAGAAAAAAGCGACCCGACGCCGTCGTTCGAAGCAATCCAGAAGAGTTGCGGCAGGAGCAGGAGGTGTATGTGAGACGGGGAGCCCGTGCGGTGGGACTGGAGATCCTGCGAAGACGCGCGGGGAGAGGGGTTTCGAATCAGAATCCTGCGGCGCCGGCGACAGCCAATGGTAACATAACGGATGTTATTCAGACGCGGTCCTGGTAAAGGCGGATGGGCGTGATATCTGCGCGCGTATCGGAATTCCGAATTGCAGCGCGGGTGGCAGGGAGGCGGAATAAGAGGAGAGGACGGACGTAGTAGGAAGAGCACGACATGCGCTGTATTACATGTAGTATGCGGCCGTGGACATATGTAAGGTAATGAGAAGCGTATGGGCGTGGAGTGGGATGGGTGCAGGGGGACGAGGAGTGGATGAGATGGAATGTGATATGACCGGATGTAGGGCGTGGGAGGTGAGGGGATGGGAGAGGATGGATGGCAGGGAGGTGGAAAGGCGAAGAGGGGAGTGGATGGGCGTGATGGGACGTGTAAAGGAAGCGCATGCGGGATGTATGGAAGGGGTGGCGCAGGAGATGGAACGCAGGACGGATGGATGGATAGGGAGATGGGTGGGGTGGTGCGCGGTATAACGACCGCGGCAGGAACTTGGGCGACGTGGAATGCGTGGTAAAGAGAAGAGAATACGAGAAACGGCGAGTATGGGCGGTGTGCGGCGATAAGCAGAACGTAGGGCGCAGGATGGCAAGGGTGTGGGGAGCTGACGGAATGGGAACGGGCAAAGGGGTCCAGAAAAATCAAGGAGGAGGGAACATGCCAGGGAAGGACGCAGACCGGAGTGAAGCGGGGAGAGGTACAAAGATTCACTGGAAGGCGAGGAACGGAATATCCCCAGGTATATTCGGGCCCTTCTTCTGGCACTGGGCCCACTCTTCTCCTCCTCCATCGTCGCCGCCGTCCCGCCCGCAGCGTCGTGTCTTGCAGTCTGCGTATCAGGCCAGGCACAGTACCAGCGGCGCAACGGCTAACCCACCGCCAACCGCTCCACCACGCTCCGCACCGATGAAAGCAAGAGCATCAGACTTTTCGTTGTTATCTCTTTCACTAATGCCGACGCCCGTCCGAGGGCGCAAAGGCGTGCGGAAGTCGACGAGGAGCCTTGAGATGCGGAGGTTGACGAGGAGTCATAAGACGATGTACTATGTGGCGCAGATGGATAGCGATGGATCAAGGGCGTGGCGGGTCAGCTCGGCAGCAATCGGCATTAGTCGGCCCGCTATCCGACTCACCCGCATTTGTCCGACAACGTGTCGCTCGAGACGACGCCAGAACGTTGAGCACCGGCTGGATATGGCGTCAAATCGGACATTCTCTTAGTTGCAACTCGGCGCCAAATCTCCACCGAAATATCCGAATATGCATTTGACTCAAATGAAATACTGTACTAAAACGTTCAGTTCGACAGAGGGGGTGACGCGTGACGGAAAATTCCGGTTCGACAATTCGACAAACCGCATTTTTTGGCGTGACCGAGCGCAAAATTTCGACAATCCGAGCCGAAAATTCGTCGAAATCGCGAAATTTGGGGATTTTGGGGTGACGAACCGGAAAATCTATTCGACAGTCCTCGGGGGTGATGCGTGACAAGCACCAAAGTTGGCAATCGACAGCCCCCCCAGTGACGCGTGACTGTCGAATTGAACGTTTTAGTACAGTAAATCCCACGCGCTGGCACCGCAGGCTGCCCGTATAAGTCCAAATACAAATGTATTACTGCATTTCCATCATACCGCAGAGGCCCTTCATTATTTACGGATCCAAACTTTTTTTCCCCATTTTTTTCTCCCTTCTTTTGTTCCACTTCAGTAATCCGCCAAAATTTTCAACAGTCTGCCTACACTCGCCGAACGCTGGATGGCTAGGCCTCCACCATTTTACCAATCCATCTCATCGTCTTCATAATTTCACTGCAAACAATCCAGGAGGACAAGTCGTAACTGTATCATCTTCTATTATACATTACTTCCAACTGCAGACTATGTCTTAATACATTTGAAAAGTAGTTGGTGCTCATCACCGGAAAGAATTGATATTCCGACGGGGTAGCACTTTGCGTGCCCCTTCCCCCAAGAATGAAGCAAAAAGAGCTTGTATCCTCAGGTAAGGAATTGCAACGCAGTGGATTCCTCCTTCCATAATACATGTAACAAGCATCAGGCCGTAAAGTAATCTGCGAAACTTTCTGCCTACATGCCCTCAATCCTGGGTCCATTAATTCTACAACCGTTGCTCACAGTCGAAATGAGTCCGGGATCTATCGAGATCGGAATGTCGCGGGAGGATCGTCTTTTATTCTGCCTGCCACAGTGTGGATGGGCGAGGTGCCAATTCATCCATGAGGACATATTGTCTCTCGTTCTAATAGTGCTTTATTTGCTTCGCACCTTGAACTGTGGTGAAGCAAAAAATAAAGAAATAAAGAAATTCTGCTGTATGCCTTCATGAGGATTCGAACCTTTGCCTTCCATTTGAACGCCACAAGACGTATGCATAAGCAATGGACTGTGTCACAAAGGCTTCCGCGCTTCATTTTGCGCATAGATATGACTGACTCAATAGACCCGTTGACGTGCCTGTTTCAAATCTTAAGTAGCATTCCTGTCTCTGCAGCTGTGAATAAATTCCAACAAAGACCGACCCGAAAACGAATGTCAGTGCATACGTATGCCCGAGGACCGGTTCGGCACTACCTCAAATATTCCCAATGTGCAAAAAAAAATCTCGTCAGCCCCATATGCCCCGGGGAGGATTCGAACCTCTACCCTCCACTTGAATGCCAGAATTTGCTAGGCATTGAACGATGTGGCAGTTCGTCTACGAAGGCTTCTGTGCTGTATTTTGACCATAGATATAGGTGAATCAATAGCCCGTCAATATTCCTGTTTCAACTCTTAAGTAGCATCTTGAATGGCATCCGCCTCGAAAAAGAATTTATTATTTCATTACATATGGCTTCGGACTGATCCGGTATCTACCTCAAACTTTCCCAGGTTGGCAAAAAAAATAAGCGGAGAGGATTTATGCCCCAGGGAGGAGTCGAACCTCCGCCTTCCATTTACCCGCTTTGCTTTACACAAGGAATGGATGGTGTACCAATTCATCTACAAGGGCCATTCACGTCTCATTCTTTCATCCATTGACACAGAACCCCCTGCATATAGATAGATCCAATATTACCTACCTCTTGTACAAATTCACCCTGAAATCCAGTGTCAAATGCCTCCTGCGCTCCAAATGATTTGAAAGAAAATCAAAAGAAACGAAAATACGGGAAACATGGACAGCGAACGCATGCCCTTGGGAGCAGTCAGACTTCCGCCTTCCATTTACTCTTCAACGTACCCTACACAACAAACAGATGATGCGCACCAATTCATCCGTAAGGGCTTATTTATGTCTACTCCAAACTTTGGGACTGCACAATCTTTCTTGGCTTGCAGAAAGAATTGAGAGCAAACAGTGCAATAAACCAACGCCTACTCTTTGATTGTGTCCTCACAAATCATGCAAAATATGGCAAGCAAAATTCCATCCCCTCATCCCTCGTCATCCAAACCTGGAAGGATACACTCCTGAACGAGGGAAACCTGCAAACGGACTGGACCAAAGGACCCAGGGTTTTAGTGGGTATCGAGCACAAATCATCGCATCCCCCCTCCCAGCCCTCGGGCCGGTGGGGACGGAATCGATAGCTCGGAATCCCACACTGTTGCACCCCGCTTCGTGCCAAATGCATTTCCCTGGGTGGTGACCTAAATCTTTTTCCTCGGGGGGTTTCACCCCCCCCTGTTCCTTACGATATAGTCTGGAAGCTATCCAATTGCTAATTGTCCATTTCTATCTGTCTACTGACAACATACCACCAAAAAAAAAAAAAAAAAAAAAGAGAGCAAACAGTGCAGTGCTGGCGATGTCAAAAGCTCGTTTCCCGGCACCCCGTGCCCTCGAGAGCATCAACAAGTCCGCCCCTTATGTTCGCACCACGTCAACTGATGCTATTCACGTATGTTCTAACCTGAATGTGACTTCATTAAATCACAACATTGACATTCTTAGAGTGAAATAAAAAGTGCAGTGCGGTGCTGCGGGGAAAAAAAAAAAACCTCATCGCATTCCCTCAGAAGGATCCGCCTTCCATTTCTCCACCACGGCTAGTGCGTTATACAGCAGCGCATCCACAAGGGCTGATTTCATAATTTCGAACTCATATAATAGGATTCAATCACTCTTATTTACGGTTAAAAATATATATGCCACACCTTTCCCTCCAGACACGGATGTGGCCTCAATTAATAGATGATGGGTGATGTGTCAATTCATCTACGATGGCTATTTTCGGAATCCAGAAGAAAAAGTAACCCCGGTGGAGCAATAAAAAATAAAAAATGCCGTGGTCACAATTCGGGGGATTCCATTCACCCGTCACCATGTCCCTATTTCCTCCGCAGGAAATGGGTGATGTGCCAATTCATACACAGGGGCTATTTATCCTCTTTGCAATCACCGATCGCGATGGCACCTGGTATTCTTCCCAGCTTGCTTCTGTAAATAAATTCCAAGTCATTGCGAGAAGAAAAAAGGAGATTCAGTTCATCAGCCCAGGAACGAGTTGAGTCGGGCCTCGCCCGCTACTCTAGACGTCAACCCCCACCTTCCATTCAGATCCTCGAGCGATGAGTGTACAAGTAACGTAGACGATGTGCCAATTCAGAATATATATATTTTTGGTTGTTAAAAAAGACGCGGAGACATCAATGGTGCCCCGGGAGGATTCAAACCCCCGCGTCCCATCTGCAGAGTGATTCATGATGGTGACGCACCACGAGGGCCTCTTCCCTACGTTCGAGCCGGGTTAATTCTACACTTTGCAAACCAAGAAAAATAACTGCGAGCCCGAAAACATTTTACAAATCTATTTCTGACAATAAATTGGAAACGCAAAACGGACTTGAACCTAATCACCTCGAGGAATCGCGTCTACTGAGCGATTCATGTCTCATCAGTGCGGTAAAAACACGGTTAACATGTTCACTCAAGTCTCAGTGTAATCCGGTGTGATTCAAAAAAGGTCTTTTTTTAAAACCAATTGCATCAAAGTTGACACATAATTTACCCAGAACTCGAGCTAGGCCGACACGCTCAAATAGCCGTTATCTAGTCCCCAATATTTTTCAACATAAAATTGTACTCTAGAATAAATGAAGATCGCTTTGATCATGCGCTATTTGCCCCTGTTGCATTCGGGGGATGTCGCAAAGGCGTCACTGCTTTCCTCTTTCATTCTTCCTCCTTTGCATTCTCCCTTCTCCCTACCTCTACCTCTACCAAGTGGACCCACGGTACTCAAGATCCTCATAGCCGCCGTGCCCTGCGTGCGCATCCTCTCCGCCCTCGTCGCCGCCGTCAAGATTGAAGCCGTCGCCGCCATACACGACATCGCGCGCAGCATAATTGCGAGCGAGACCCACATGGGCAGGCGGGCGCATTCACCACCGTAGGCTTAAGCCTCATCGGCGCTCGTCTCCCGCGGCACGCACATCATCGCGCTCTTCCAGCACTCCCTGCTGTACGTAACAACGTGGATCGTCTGCGAACGAAACATCAGTGCGAGTCGTGCGGCCTCACCGCGCCGCCTAGGCCTTCTATGACCGCGTTCGACCCGCGATCCCTCGGGCGGCCGTTGATGCGTGTTGATGGCGGGAGCGGCAGTGTAAAGCGCTGGCGCGTTTCCCCTGACGACGCTGCTGCCCACCTTGCTCACCGCGCGCCCGTGGAGCCCGATGTCTCATCGTGAAGGTCATGCACGGCTTCCGAGTCGCCACCGCCGTGCCTCCCGCCCTAGTCTCGTTCTTCTCGTCCTGCTCCCCCCTACGGACAGCGGTACGCTCATCCTCCGCGCCACAATCCTCGCGCGTCACCACCTACGTATCGTTGATTCCCACCCGCCCTCCACCCCCGCGTCGTCTTCCTGTGGTTCCCCCACCTCGCAGAAATCCAACAGCGCCGCCGTGCCGCGCTTGACCACGGACTGTGTGTCCCCAACTGCGTCCACAGTAGGTATATTTGTGTACATGATCGTGTTGATTTTGAATGACTCTGTTTCCTTTTCGTGCTTTGCGCTTTGCCCTTCACTTTGATTGTCAATCTCCATATTTCTCTTTCCGTTCACTCCGGCAGCGCTTGCTCTTCCACGCCACCCTCATCCATTCCCTTTTATTTCGATCTTGTGCGGAATCGTGGTATCACCTTCCTTTCCTCTTTTTTTGCGCTCTTTCTCATTCCGCTTCAGCGCTACACACTCGCGACCTTTCCCCCTTCTTTCGCTTCCGTCGCCTTCCGCTCCTACTTTTTATTCATCCTCCCGCCCCTTCCTCGTTTGGAGTTATATCGCTTTCATTTCACCATCTTCGTTTTCGCTTCGGATAACCGCTTTTCTTTCCTGTTCACCTTAACCCGCTTGGGCTTGCCCGAAAGTTGCGCGTTCCTTTTTGGGCGTACATCCCGCCGACATTTATTTTTTCGCTCCCGTTCTCTGTCCTGTACATTTTCCTCTTCCCTTCGATCTCCCGTTTCCCTCGTTCCCGTTTGTTCCTTCAATCACGCGCCCAGATAAATCCTCTTCTACCCCCTTCTTCTCGGCTTCGCGGGGTCTGCCGCTCTGCGCGTGCTACTTCTCCCGACGCCATTCAAGGTGCTGGCGGGGCGCGCCGACTGAGCAGCACGACTTCGTCTTCGGCGGATACCTGAAGGCGAGGACTGGGTGCAGGAGGAGGTGGGCACGGGTTCCTGAATAGCCGTTCTAGTCTTTGCTCTTCCTTCCTCGCCTTCGCCGCCGTATGAAGTAATATATCCAGTTCATCCATCGCAGTCAAGAGATGTGCTTTCGTGGAGTACGGCATTGTCTCCCCAGAACTACTGTACCGGCCCTCATTTGTAAGTATGCATGGCTCCAACTACAGTCAATCCATGGTCCTTGCAACGTGTTTAAAAGCCTCGGGTTTCTTGGTGAGAATTGGGTGTTTTGGTACCAAAGAAGTTATGGAATTGGGGTATATGGACAGCTGGAGTATGGTCCTGCAAAAAGTTTCCCCGAAATTGTCCGAGATTTGCGAGTTCTGCAGCGATCATTGCGGACCGTTATTTCCGCCATCACCGGTCCTTGCAAATTTGCACAAACAATCTTGTAATTCGTTTCTAGCGCAAAACCTCAATGGATGTGGACTTGACTATGTCGGATACTGCTTGTGGGTCACCAAAACTATGCTTCCAAGTCCTCCATGTCCTCCTCTGACTCAAATTCCATCTCTGAATTGGCACCCAAGCCACAATCGGAGTCATTTGATAATTCCTCTTGCAACTCGTTTCTCCGGCCCTATGTGGTTTGGATTTGGCGATGCGCGGCATGCCAGAGTGAATAGAGATGGCGTGTGAGGTGTTGTTTGGGCAGATGTCACTCTCACGTGAACGTGACAATGCGTGCCATTTTAATCGCCCCATTGCTCAACAGCCACTTATGTGATGGATTCAAAATTTTTGTGCCGCACACCAGGCACCTGGGAGAATGCCTATGTGATTTAATCCATCAAAAAAGCAAGAACTGCATGCGTGTAGTTCCGCGCAATCAAATCCCCACCAAAAATGGGCAATTTTCTCATGGGAATGTCAGAATAGTTGCGAAGAAAAAAACTGGAATATCCGCCAGTACCGTACCTACAAGTCTACCATTAATTTTAAGCAAAATATGCTGTGGTTGCCTCAGAAAAAAAAAATTTGCAAGGAGTGGTGATTTTGCAATGACCATGGATTGACTGTACCATTTTGAAATTTATGTGCTGTTACCGACTTCCCAAGCCCTAGTCATAGCCACAATGTCTTGGCAAACAGAGCCGGCTAAGTTAGCATTTCATGGGGACTGGCTATGGTTTTTTTTTGGCAGTGGAAATTCATCTTAACCGGATTTTTTATACATCCTATATCGATCGATCATCTCCATGTCCGCGGCGGATCTGCACTCTCGTTTCGGGATTTGTGCGACTGACCGTTCTGTTGAGCGAATTTTTACTTTGTCTTTCTGTATACATACTTCGTGTCACGGCCTTCTACCGCAAGTG